TCCAGGAAGGCCCCTTAAAAAGGGAAGAGATGAACACTTCTTCCTCTCTTTCTCCTTCTTTGCTGCACGGAGTGCTAATGCAATGGCTTGTTCAGCAGCCATTTGGGACTATGAAGATGGAACCAGGTTGGGACAGTGGAGTAAAAAGATAGGACTCTGGATTCTTGATGACCATGGATCCATCATATTAGCCTTGTACTGCCCCCTTGGCACTTCTTGATTTTTGGTGGTGGAGGTGGGCTACCTTCTTAACTCTGTCTGTGGTTGGGTCTCCACTACTCTTAGAGCAAGAAAGGTGGTCTTTATGAAGCCCACCAAGTCTCTGAGAACTCACTGTATGATCGCCACAACCCCACACCGGGAACACCGCACATTAGGACATTATGTTCCCAATGATGACCTTAGTCTCTAAAGGAAGGTTCAGCTGTGTTCTCATACTCTGCTTCACGAGGCAGAGACACACGGAATGTATTTCAGGAACTGAATAATTCAAACAAAAAGTCTTGGGGGCTTTAGAAAGCGTCACCTCGGGCGCCTGGGTGGCTCAGTTGGTTAAGCGACTGCCTTCGGCTCAGGTCATGATCCTGGAGTCCTGGGATCGAGTCCCGCATCGGGCTCCCTGCTCAGCGGGGAGTCTGCTTCTCCCTCTCCTGCTCCCCCCTCTTGTGCTCTTTCTCACTCTCTCTCTCAAATAAATAAAATCTTAAAAAAAAAAAAAAAAGAAAGAAAGCGTCACCTCTCCCCAGACAGCGTCCAAATGATCATCTCTAGGGAAACACAGCTGTCTAAATGACTCAGTTCAATGAGATGCCTGGGCCTTGACACCTGACCTACCTAACCTAATCCTAACCAACCCGTGAAGCCAGCTAGAGACAGGTACGAGGGCTCCTTGATAAGAAGATGTGGATTCTGGTTCTGGCCTTCCTGTCACTACAGTTGTGCATGCCCCTAGGTGAGTCAGTTACTGCCTGGACTTGTCTTCATTTATAAATGAGCTTAATGATCACTGCCCTGCCTATGTCTAAACGGAATGAGGTCAAGTATGTACAAATGGTTTGTGTGTATAAAACAATCACAAATTGAAGGAGTACACACTGCCTGGGTAGGCAACTGAGCCCCCCGACTGGCCAGGTGCAGCTCCTTCAACCCAGTTGAGCTTGGACCTTCTCGGGTAGACAAGGTGGGATCCATTGGGCCTCCAGCTCCATTTGCCTGTTCACTTTGGGGTTCATTTTGGGACAGACCGTTCCAACACCCACCTACTTGGGAGTCCCATGCCCATGGAGAGGGAGTGGGGATGCTGTTGTTGGTGAAGGTAAAGGGACAGAGAGGGTGGGATGTCTCATCAGCCAAACTCGCTCGGAAGGACAGCAGTGCCACCAACATCATGAAATCTCTTCCAGAGGACCTGTCCACACGCACAGGACTGCTATGCCTCATTACCTGATGTTCGTTTCATGTAAGCGCAACACAAGGTTGCTCTCGAAGAGGCTTGGCTCTGCTCACCATCCTCCCTGTCCACCCCGTCAGACAAAACTTGTGATTATTGTTAGCTGCCTGATCTGTCACAGATGGTCTTAAAAGAAATGCCAGAGAACAAAGTTCCTTTGATTGAAGTATCTTAAGATGTGTCTACTCTCATTATGTCCTGGTGATAAAAAGCAGCAAGAATTTCCCCCAGAGAGTGAAAAGGAGATGAGGTCAGCGACATCAGGTCTGAGTGTGGGCACACTTGCTGGCCCCCAGCCTGGACTATAACAACAGAAGCTTGAGTGTATGGGGCACTCAGAAGGTGCCAGACGCAGTTTAGTGGCATGGCTTATGTGAAGCGTTTTAAAATCCTCAACCCGGGCACCTGGTGGCTCAGTCGTTAAATGTCTGCCTTTGGTTCAGGTCATGATCTCAGAGTCCTGGCATCGAGCCCTGCCCATGTCAGGCTCCCTGTTCAGTGGGGAGCCTGTTTCTCCCTCTCCCTCTGCCCCTCCCCCTCCTCATGTGCTCTCTCTCTCTCTCAAATGAATAAATAAAAAATCTTTAAAAATAAAAAAATAAAGTCCTCAACCCTAGTTTACTAATGATTTAACTGAGCCTCAGGGAAGTGAAGTAGCTTGTCCAAAGTCTCATAGTTAATAAGCTAGAAACCTGAGATTCCAACGAGGTCTACTGGATTCCCAAAGCCCAACATACTTTCCATTACTTTTCTGCTGGAGGTTTCCATGCTTAGTATTAAGCAGCGTTCTTAATTATGCATACAGTATTATGTAACTAAATCACACATTAAAGGAGGTCCTTTTGATCTCTCTGGTTGTCCTGATGTCTCTTTCTCCTCCTTGCCTTCCTAATGACCAAACAAGGTCCCAAGGGAATAGGACCCTAAACTCGTCTTTTTAGATCGTTTTGGTTTTCAAACAAAAATAGCTCCTGTTGGTTTATCTTATTTGTCTGAGAACCTTAAAAACCTTTCATGTCTTTCCCCTCCCTGCAAAATAATGTCTTTGCAAGGTATTCTGCCTCTTGCTCAATTCCGCTTTGAAATCTCTTTTTGTTGCGGTATCCACTTGGAGGTGGCCGCTTTGTCAGCTGTCAGAGGAGACCCTTTCGCCACGTGAACTGTGAGAGAGAAAAACAAAACGCTGGGTTCCAACGACAAAGCCAAGCATGGTGCTTAGGCACATGGGCTTTAGCGTCTGACTGGCTTGCTTGACCTCATAACATCTCGGTTTCCTCACCTGTAAAGGGAAATGATAGAACCTCCATGATGGGATGGTTATGGGATTAGATGAACTGCCCAGGAGTAGAGAGGCGGCGTGAATAATGGCTGTACGCATGAACATGGGGTGGAACCTTAGCTCCTCCACACTGGACCAAGTTATATGATCTCTCTGTGCCTCAGTTTACCCCATCTAAAACACAGAGAGAACAGTGGTTCCTCCATCATGGTCTGTTGGGAGGACTAAATGAGTTAAGGACATGTAGCTGTCAGTGCTTATGACTGCACAGAACTCTGGGCAGATGTGTAATAAGTGTGATATAGGGACAAAACACACTCATACCCCCCAAACCCAGGCCAGCTACACTGGGGCCTGCAAGTGCCAGTTCACTGAAGTCACCAAGGAGGTTTGAGTCCTATTACCTGCTCTAAAACATAACGTGAGGGGCGCCTGGGTGGCTCAGGTCGTGGTCCCAGGGTCCTGGGATTGAGCCCCACATCGGGCTTCCCTGCTCTGCGGGAAGCCTGCTTCTCCCTCTCCCACTCCCCCTGCTTGTGTTCCCTCTCTCACTGTGTTTCTCTCTGTCAAATAAATGAATAAAATCTTTAAAAAAAAATAAAAGATAAAACATAACGTGAAACAGGTAGTGAAAAAGACCCCAGAAACATAGCGCACGATAAGAGTTGTTTCACCAGGTTAGTTGCTGATGGGAATGCTATACTTCAGTTGGCAGAAGACTTGAATTAGCATCTGTGGTCCACTGAATAATGGTCCCCAAAAGTATCCAGCTCCCAATCCCTGGAACCTGCGAAACATTACCTTATATGGGAAAAGAATCTCAGCAGATGGACTTAAGTTAACGATTCTGAGGTAGTAGTTTTCCCGTCTCCATACAGATGGGCCCTACATGCATCACTAGTGTCCTTCCAAGAGGGAGGCAGAGGGAAATTAGAAGAGGAGAAAGTAATGTGGCCACAGAAGCAGGGATTAGACTCACGTGGCCACCAGCCAAGGAATGTCAGCAGCCACCAGAAGCCAGGAGAACAAGGAACAATTGCTTCTCAGAGCTTGTGCGGGGAGTGTGGCCCTGCCCACGCCTTGATTATGACAGAGTGGAACTGATTTCAGACTTCTGGCTTCTAGAACTGGGAGACAGTACATGTCTGTTGTTTGGGGCCACCAAGTTTGTGTAATTTGTCACAGCAGGGAGGTTCTGGAGGGAAACAAACAGGAAGACAGGCAAATCACCCGATATTTTCTGCAATTGGCTATCAGTAACCCGGCCTCACAATCTTATATGTGGGTAATTCTGTTAGGAGCTAGGTAGAAATTTTCATGAGTTGCTTTTGACATATTCTGGAATAATTATGTCTGTTGTAAAATTACTGCCTGAACATATATAAACGGGAGTGAAATTTCTGATATGTTTAATTGGAGGCAGGTCTTTTTCAATAAAGGTGAAACATACCACCACAAATCCCTACAACCTGCATCAGCAACAGCTGTAAACTTGAGCCAGGTGAGGCACCAGCCATAGGTGTCTCAGCTCTCGGGGCCACAGGATGCAACTCTGTGGCAAACTCTAATGACCTCCTGGGAGGATTCTTGGAGTTGGGATGAAATATTAGATAAGTGGGCTCCACAGACCCCCATTCACTTCACCTATTCACCCACCAAGTCCCAGTTGAATCAATCAATTGCTACAGGTTTCCAGGTGCCTTATCGGGACCACCAACTGGCCTTAGAGCATCTGGATGGTGTTTCACCTCGGATGTCTCTCACTCAACCTCTGACACCTTTTTTCAAGCAATGGGAAGCAAAGAGCCTGCTCAGCCACTGTCTGAACCACAACGCCCGCTCATGGCAAACTGTCTCCCTGTAGATTATTTGGGTCGGCTGAAACTGGTTGGTACACTATTTTCAACTTTTTGTGACCACACACTTGGTTCTGACTTAAATTTCTACTACACAACCTTTAGCTCTGTTCACCCCTGCTCACCATTGAGCTCTTTTGGGCTGGGTTAGTTGTAATCCTGCCATTAACATAGCTCTCAAGGTGGCCTTAACAAGATGGGAGTCAAGATCCCTAATTTACCAACAAGCTTTAATGGAACCTCCAGTAAACCTAAAGCACTTTGCCAACAGCCTTAGAAATCTCAGTCCTCACAGCATCTCTGTGAGGTCACCGTTGGAGCATCTTTGGCTGCAGTGGTCCAGAGTTGAGCTCAGTGGAGTTGGTAAAGACTATGCCCATAGCATGGTTCCAACCGCTTGTAAGAGGAATCACCCTTAAGAAAATTTACCAAGATAGTAGTTTTCCCATCTCCGTACTTTGTTGGTTATTGTTTTCCATTTCCTTGGGTTTATCCTTTCAATCCCTTTGCTAATTAAATCGCTGAGAAGTATATACTGGCAAGAATAAACACTGTCAATGTAGTGCAAACAAAACTCCTTTTTGTTATTGATGATAAACCATTTCAGAGAAGACCAGGCTGAGTCTAAAGGGTTTAGGTAATTGTAAGGGGAAGGCAGAGAGAGTAGTTCATGGCCACAGGACTTGGCTACCTCAGGGCAACACACAATGCTCGTTAAGTTAATGACTGATGGGGCATGGACCTGGGCCTCTGGCTCTTCATCTTCGTTTGGCTTCATCCTGTCCTGCTGCCTTCTCTCTTTGATCACAATGGCACACTTCCCATAGGCCTTCTTTGTGATATCACAGAACTCAAAGAAGAGGCTGTCTTCCTGTTTGATGCATAACTCATCTCTTAGGAACATCCGATACTTCCAAGGCACCCATCCTTGATTACTACCAGCATGCACAATACACCACGTTGGAGTTTGCATGAAATACCCATCACTAAGATCTTCTCCAGTTACAAGACTTTCAGTGATATCGGTTTCTCCTAAATATATAGTCTTAAATCCATCATATTGTAGCATTCTCAAGGTTTTCAAATATTGGAGACATTGCTTCCTCCTGATGCTATCAAATGGATTTCTGGTGATGATGTTTCTTAAAAGAGGGTTTGCAAAGTGAGGCATGGTGTCTCCTCAAGTGTTTTTAAAAGCTTGCATGTCTCTCTCTGTGCACATCTGGCAAGAGTAGCATGATGACCTCACAAAGGGCTTTCTTACAGCTAGGCCAGCCACATAGATACACTTTGACTTTCAAAGCCTGACTTTCCAGCAGGACAGGATGAAGCACCATGAAACACATACTCAGCACAATTTTCTTCTGGCTTATAGGGTATGGGAAGTGCTGACCATAAAAATGTTTCTTTGATGTTGCTTCTGCCATGGTTTGGGACAGCGATTGGCAATTATATTAGTTTGCTAGGCCTGCCATAACAAAATACAAGACTGGGTGGCTCAAACAACAGATTTATTCTGTCATGTTTCCAGAGGCTGGAAGTCCAAAATTCAAGCATCGGCAGGTTTGGTTTCTTCTTCTGAAGTCTCTCTCCTGGGCTTGTAGATGGCCACCTTCTTGCTGGGTCCTCACATGGCCTTCCTTCTGTGTGCATCCTAGCTCTGGCCTAATCTCTTCTTATGATCACTAGTCCTGTTGGATTAGGGCCCACCCATATGATCTCATTTTACTTTAATCACCTCTTAAAAGACCCTCTTTCCAAATAGAGTCACATTCTGAGGTACTGGGGTCAGGGTTAGGGCTTCAACACAAAATTTGGGTGAGGGGGACACAATCCTACCCACCACAACAATCTTTTAACAGCGATGAGCCACATTTATGACCCCTTTCCATTTGGTTCATGAGGATGAAGAGGAATATTTACATTCATTCGTCCAATCCAGATAGATTTATTGAGCACCTACTAAGCACTTGGTATTGTGCCAAGCACCAGTGGTAGAGCCACGACATGCCCAGTGAAACCTGCACATGTGTGTGGTTTAAGTTTGCACATGTGTGGAGTTCACAGATGGCAGAGGAAGGTGAGGCAAAGAGTATAAGAAATTCAGCCAGCATGACTGTCTTTCACTGGGGCTGCCAATTCTTGAGCTAATTCAGTAACCTATCTGGAAAGCACTTTTAATTTTATATACTCAGGGCAAAAGAGAGTTTTCTTTAAATCCCAGCAGCCTCTTCAATTGCTTTTGTGTTTTCTTGTTCCCGTCCTTGGAGCTAAAGGTGTTTCATAAATGTACAAAGCAGTTTCCCTCAAATGACAATGTGGACAACGTGATTTATCAGGTCCTTCGCTCAACTGTTGAATGGATGAGTATTTCTCTTCTCACCAGGGTTTTCTTGGGATTCAAGTTTAGGCAACCCTGACAGTAAGATTTCCCCAGCCTAGTTAACATGAAGCATGTGTTCTCTGAACAGCCTCTCAGAAGCCAGGAACAGTGAGCTTGGGTTGATTATTAGCTTATGGCCATCTTCTCTTAGGATTTTTCTTTTAATAGTGGGCACCATTTTTCAGACCAAATTTGATAGGAATGCCGAAGAGGTAGAACAGAGGTGTGGCTGCTGTGGTTGAAGTGGTAATGGTGGCCCCAGAATCACCCTTTTCAGCCACTCCCTTTCCCCACTGTCCCAAAGTCCCCTGTGCTCTGGAATGGCAGTGTGAAAACACCATATAAAGCAATGAGGTCAATTCTAAGACAACAGTTCTTTGCTTCTTTCATCCAATGTTCAAGTATGGATATGAGAAACATGATCAGAAGTATAGAAGAGAATGTGTCATATGTTATCTTTTGTGCAAATATATACATATAACTAAATGATAAATAAATATAGATATTTATTTATATTTTCAAGTAGGAAAAACAGAAGAATGAACCAAATATGAATTAAAATTCCTTACCTACAGGGCGCCTGGGTGGCTCAGATGGTTAAGCGTCTGCCTTCGGCTCAGGTCATGATCCCAGGGTCCTGGGATCAAGTCCCGCATCGGGCTCTCTGCTCCTTGGGAGCCTGCTTCTCCCTCTGCCTCTCTCTCTCTGTCTCTGATGAATAAATAAATAAATAAAATCTTAAAAAAAAAAAAATCCTTACCTACAAGTGGAGGAATAGAACAGGAAGGACAGAAAAAGCAAGAAATATAGACTTTTCTGAACGTACCTTGTTTTATAGTTTTAGCCAGAAAATATAAACATTTTGCATTTTTTAAAAACAAAAGTTAAAAAGGAAAGATAAAACAAAAAGTTCTCTAAAATATGCAAATAACGCTGAAACTAATGAACCTGCTTATCATGTCAATAATAGCAACATCAATAAAAACACTCAACCCAGCCACAGTGTGTACTTCTGCCCCCCAGATTGTAGTCCCTAATATTGTCTCCTATTAGAGGAATCAGTGGTCCTTTGGTTCTAGGGGAAGGAAATGTACAAGACGAGCTTGGGACATCTTGTCCAGCTTGAAAGCAAGGAAGCCATCAAGACTACCAGGTTCTGTTGGAAGGACCCAAGATTTAAAAAGGCTCCCATGGCCAACAATGGAAGAATTTGAGCATCAATCAATAAAGAAATAAATAATGACTGCAAGAAATTGAAGCAGAATGAATGTATAAAAATCTTTGAATTCATAATGGTACTGAAACAAACAACAAATCAAATAACACAATTAAAAAAACACTCAAAAAAATCTGTTGTTGCCCAGAGATGACATTGGAGAGCACCATTGCACTATTTTGCCAATTAATAAATAGAAGAATCAAATGCTTATCTTGCCTTTTCTTGTGTGGATTTCATTTCAGAGTGGGATATGCCAGGATGGCGAGTCCAAGCAGATGTCAATCCAAGGTGATGGGTGTGAGTGTGGCCCCACTGGGCTGTGTAGGGAAGTAGAGTAAATCTGAGCACTGGGGTCGTGGGCAGAGGCTCTGGTACCAGATAAACCTAGGGGTCAAATCTTAGCTCCACTCTCAGTAGCCTCAACTTCTCTCTCTATAAAATGGGGAGAATACCTATGGCAAAGTATTGAGGCAAGGACTTATGAAGTAGCAAATATAATTCACTGGCATGGAGCTTAATAAATGGCTGTTATTGTTGAGACAGACTGTCTGGGAAGACAGACCCTCAGAGAGCTTGGCAGTGACTGATGCAAAAAGAAAAAAGTCATGGAGGGAAGGGCAAAGGGGGAGAAAAGGAAGGAAAAGTTAAAAAGAAAAATCAAGACTGAGGACTAACACTGAAATGAAGTAAGTTGTCTACCCCGAGACAAAAATGGAAAGTGTTCCCTTCCTCTTTTCCTTCCTTCCTTCCTTCCTTCCTTCCTTCCTTCCTTCCTTCCTTCCTTCCTTCCTTCCTCCTTCCTTCCTTCCTTCCTTCCTTCCTCTCTTTTTCCCTCTCAACTTCATCAACAAATCTTGAATGCTTCCAGGTTCCAGGTTGTGTAAATCTTGGAAAAACTTGAGTTCCCTGAAGTCCCCTCAAGGAAGGCGCCATCTTGTGGGAGAAAAGAGTCAACAATGAGTCTCGGTAAAAGGAGATGGGTCTTGGTTGGGGAAAGAAACTCTAGAAATGGGGCCCCACGGGAGGGACACCTTCCAAGGAGGAGATGGAGCAGGCCACGTGTGGAAACCTAGGGATGGGGTGGCCATGGGGAAGAGCTTGTATTTCAGCTGAGATAAATCTTCAAGGAGCTCCTGACCTCTCTCCTCACGGCTTGACGTGGGGACTGTCACAGAATTGCTGAGGAAGGGGTGAGCTACACAGAACCCAGAGAATGTGCACCCAATGGTGGTTGTAGGGGGGACTGCAGCCACCGAATTCAAAGATTTCTCCATTGAGGGGGATGGTTAGGCTGAAAAGAGACACAAAGATATGAATGCAAAGCGGGGGAGGGGAGGAGGGACCAATGGCCATTTAGGAGGGACACTTTGTTTATACCTTATCTGTGCACTTCCTGCTTGCTAAGTGGTCTGTTGATTAAATCTTTACCCCTACTTGGGAGGTGAGAGTACTTCCTGGTATTTCAGGAAGTGGGAAGCTCTGGAAGGCTGGAAGGGGGTGGGCAGTGGGAGAGGGGAGGATCTGTTAACCGTCAAAATTGAAATTAAAAAAAAATTGGGGGGCACCTGGGTGGCTCAGTCAGTTGGGCATCTGACTCTTGATCTCAGCTCAGGTCTTGATTTCAGGGTTGAGAGTTCAAGCCCCACATTGGGCTTCATGTTGGGCGTGGAGTCTTCTTTAAAAAAAAAATGTTCTATTACCTTTTAAGTTATAAACACAATGCATAGGTGTTGTAAATAATTTCCAGCCTTAACAGAAGTCACTGTTCATCCACACCTGCTTTGCTCACCAGCCAGAAAGCTGTTGGAATTGTTCTGTGTCATTCAGACACTATTCTACCTGGATTTAGGAGTATAGATACAGATCCATGAATAGACGTATAATTTTTCTTTTTTTTTTTAAAGATTTTATTTATTTATTTGACAGAGAGAGACACAGTGAGAGAGGGAACACAAGCAGAGGGAGTGGGAGAGGGAGAAGCAGGCTTCCCGCGGAGCCAGGATCCCGATGCGGGGCTCGATCCCAGGACCCTGGGATCATGACCTGAGCCAAAGGCAGACGCTTAACAACTGAGCCACCCAGGTGCCCCCAGACGTATAATTTTTCAAAAAATGAATCATACTCTATATTCTGTAACTTGCTTTTGTAAACCTCACAATAAATCACAGACATTTTTCCATGTCATTAATACGGAAAACCTAGTTGTTTTTAATAGTTATATTGTATTCCATTGTTTGGATGTGACACACACTATTTGAAAAATGCCCTATGTTGCGGTTATTTAGATTGTTTCAAGGTCTTTGCTATCTCAAATAATGCTATGATGAATATCTCCTCATAGTTACGAAGGTCTGATGTAGATATATGCAGGGAAAAGTAGAGGTCAAAAGCCATGAATGGTTTAAATATTGGTAGATATTGCCAAATTATCCACTAAAAAGTTTGTACCAATTTGTACTCAGATTGCTACCACCACTTGATATTAGTAATCTTTAATTTTCACCAATCTGATGGGCAAAAATGGCACTTCACTGTTTTAACTCCATTAATTATAAGTAAATCTGGCCAT